TCTCTCTCTCTCTCTCTCTCTCTCTCTCTCTCTCTCTCTCTCTCTCTCTCTCTCTCTCTCTCTCTCTCTCTCCCCCCGTTCCCAGCCTGTCTCGCACATGCAAGAGTGCACCCTTCGTTAGGGCACGTGCACTGTCCCCAAGGGGTAAACATGGGATGACAACATTTCGTCCCTCGGTGTGTTATTGCATTGCTCCCCCTGCGTCCGTCCGTCCGTCCGTCCGTTGGCACACGACAACACGTCGACAGCGTCCATTGAGTCGCTGCACGTTCCGTGTTTAAACGGATGGAAGCTGGTTATTAAGCCCGCCAGGGGCGAGTGTGGCGACGACGGTGGAGAAAAAAAAAGATGAAGAAATATTCGCTGCCGGGTGTCGAACCCCCGGCCATTCGCGACTGACATTAAAATCTCGACATGGAGTGGGTGACAAGACCGCTAGAGTGGACGCACCGGCGAAATGTGAGTGGATAAATGTGTCGTGCGATTCCGCCGCTGCCGGGAGTCGAACCTCGAACCGCGGGGAATGACCTGCTCGACGCCAAAGTAAAACAACAACAATAAAAACGATCAGCAAGGCCCGTAATTTGAAACAGACGCGAGCGAAGAGACGGGCGAGCGATAAATTTGGCTGCATGAGAGAAAGAGAGAGAGAGAGAGAGAGAGAGAGAGAGAGAGAGAGAGAAATAAATGGGACGGTAATGCTCGGTAAGTGATGCGGCCCGGAATAAGCGCACCGGATTTATAATTATTAACTGCGACTAGTTTTGGCGGGGCGTGGTGGGTCCGGGCGGGGCGGGGCGGGGCGTTCCGAAGGGGTTGCTCGCCGTGAAGTGCGTCACGCTCACTCGGGATTAGTCCCTGCGAGGCAAACTGCCTGGAACCGCGACAATGCCAAAGAGGAGGGACAAAAATGAAGCTTCGTTCCCTTCCGCTCTTTTACTAACATTCTTTTTGATCTTTTTACAATTTTTTTTTCGGTGGAGTGACACGGGAATTAATCAGAGCGGCGATTGAGACAGACGAATTGGCGGCGCGGAGAATGGCCAGGACGTCGTTGGGTTTCATTTCGCCTGTTTCGCCCTTTGCTGAATGTGAATGTGGGGCCGGCCGGGCCCTGAATCTGAATGAGCAGTCTGCCCCGTGCAAATGACTCGAATTCAAACTTGGCCGCGCCGCCGCCCTGCCTCGCAGCCCTGCCACGGCCGTGAAACTGAATGCCGGCCATTGCAGGGAATGTCAGGAAGAAGGACGCTGGCCTTTGTCTCCGTCGCACCCTCGGGGCACAGTGGGCCAGAAGACCGGTGGAGGCGGCCGAAACTCCCGACGCGTTTTGAGCTCCAGAGTCGCTAAATGGGACTCGAACCGAACGTGTGACCCCACCAATGGATTGCTCTCCGAACGAGGAATCCATTGGTGGGGTCACACGTTCGATTCGAGTCCCATTTAGCGACCCTGGAGCTCATAGCGGACGCACCTTCGCCAATAGCGCGCATCGACGTGGCCGCGCACACGCCGGCTAGTTTATTGTATTTCGTTGCTCAGGGAAAGGGGAGGGGGGCCTCGGGGGGCCGTGCGTGAAGTTGCCGGGATGTAATTTGTAGGAAGATCCCACAGGGGAGGGAGAATGCTTGTATTGGGGCGTCGTATACATGAAGGTGTTTATTTGGTTAGGAGGTGGCCGAGCACGGCGCGTGGGGCGCCAACCACACACACACACACACGCACCATTACCCCCTCCCACCACACACACACACACAGTCGCAGTATCGTAAAGCAAACCAAAAACTCGATATTATTTACAGTGTGTTTGGGAAAACTTGTAACGCCCCCCGCCACGCTTGCTGTTGGCGAGAGAAAGGGTTGTAATTGTTTCCGGAAGCGCACCATACACTGTAGGTCCGAACGCGCGGCGCTCTGCAGAGCATGCTGGGCGGCGGGCCGCTGAGGAAGCAAACGACCCCATCCCATTTTCAAATTCGCCTTGATGGGTGGCGCAGTGGCAGTGGCGCGCCGGAGCGGGAAGTACGGGGACACCTGGGTGAAAGTTTGGAGTTGGAGCGGCTCATTGTCTCTGCCGGCCCGGCCAATGTGGCATCGCAATCCCGGGGCAGCTGCCGCACAGTGGGCCAGAGGACCGGTGGAGGCGGACGAAACTCTAGACGCGTTTTGAGCCCCAGAGTCGCTGAATGGGACTCGAACTGAGCGTGTGACCCCACCAATGGACTCCTCGTTCGGAGAGCAATCCATTGGTGGGGTCACACGTTCGGTTCGAGTCCCATCTAGCGACTCTGGAGCTCAAAACGCGTCCGGGTTTTTGGCTGCCTCCACCGGTCTTCTGGCCCACTGTGGGCCGCACTGCCGCGGGATTACGCTGTGGGACACTCCGCTTTCTTTCCGACAGAGTCACCTCGCGGCTCTGACGAACTGCCCCGCGCGCGACCCGTCCGCCTGCATCCGTCCGCATCTGTCTGCATCTGCCTAACTGGAGCGGACGAAGGCTCTCTCTCTCTCTCTCTCTCTCTCTCTCTCTCTCTCTCTCTCTCTCTCTCTCTCTCTCTCTCTCTCTCTCTCTCTCTCTCTCCCTCCCCCGCTCGCAGGGCAGGGAGTGCGAGACGTCCTTACCCCTCCCTTTCCAGATTGATTATCACCCGCGAGAGAAACTGGTTTGTCGAATTATGTTTGTCATTATTCTTGGGATCAAGCAGTGCATGCGTTCATGCACTCACACACACTCACACACACACTCACACACACACAAGACGGAAGGGGTGCAGGGCGTGTAAAAGGGACAAGACCGCCATTCAGTGCAGGCATATCTCTCCTGTGTGTGTTTGAGAGAGAGGGGGGGGGGGCTCGGCACGTGGTGGGAAACGGCGGAGGCAGTCCGTATATGGGCAAGCGCACGGGGTGAGCGGGCTGTTGGAGTGAGGCTGGTTCGAACGCGTGTGGGTGGGGGACGTAGTACTGCCTGGCGAGGCGAGCGTGTGACGGTGAGGAATGCCGTTTTGTTGATTTTGGCAGTGTTTTTTCGCGTGTCACTCGGGATCAGAACGCGCAGGCAGGGTCGGGCCACAGTGGGCCAGAAGACCGGTGGAGGCGGCCAAAACTCTAGACGCGTTTTAAGCTCCAGAGTCGCTAAGGAGGACTCGAACCGAACGTGTGACCCCTCCAATGGATTCCTCGTCCGGAGAGCAATCCGTTGGTGGGGTCACACGCTCGGTTCGAGTCCCATTTAGCGACTGTGGAGCTCAAAACGCGTCCAGAGTTTTGGCCGCCTCCACCGGCCCACTGCGTGGCGCTCAGTGCCTGCACCTGTGGTCGGGGCTCCGTAATAAGGCAGTTTAAGGAGCCAATCTGGAGTCCGCCTCGCGAGGACGTCTACCTGCACGCCTGGGATGGCTTCAGCGGCGCGAGCGGCGTAAGCCCGGGGCTTGGGCATGAAGAGTAGTAGTCCACCCGGCAACGAAGGGCGTCTTATTTTCGGGTAAAGTAGCCCCGCGCCGCGAGATGTATGCGGCGGTACTCTGTCCCAGGAAAATCATTTTGAAAATGTCTTTGTCCCAAAGAAAACGTTTTGAAATTTCAAAAATATTTCGTCTAAAAATTCGAAAATGATCACGGAGGACCAACGTCGTGCCTACCAAGATACGCTACGCAGTGTCTGAGTTCAAATCGTCAAAATGATTAATTGATGTGACCGATCTTCCATAGAGATTCTCTGGCAGTCGCCGAAATTTCCCCAGACATGAAACGAGCCTTTCCGGTGTATTTCCGATTTCGGAGCCCGCGGTCCCAGTGACATGCGTAAAATCGCGGTGGGTGGTGAGGCCCTCTTCGGACGTCAGATTTCACTGCCTTTTTTTTGTCTCTCCTTTCCGGCAAGACGAGGCGAAGTGAATGCCCGCGTCTTGCGCAACGCGGGGCGGACATCTCTGCCTGCAGTGTGCCTGCAGTCTGCCGGCGTTTCGGCCGGGCGGCATGACAGTTGACAGTCGCGTAATGAGTCTTCTGCCGCGCCTCCACGGCTCACAGTGGGCCAGAAGACCGGTGGAGGCGGCCAAAATCCCGGCGACTCTGGAGCTCAAAACGCGTCTCGAGTTTTGGCCGAACCAAACGAGTGACACTGCTTGCATGTGCCCGTCTGCCTGGTCCCTCTCTGTCTGACTAGCTCGAGCCGTATCGACCAAGTCCGCAGTGCGCTGCATTTACCACTGCATACGCCCTCGTCGCACTGCGACCGGGCCGAAGATGGAATCGTTCACTTTGCTGCAAACTTAGCCAGGCCTTGCTTAGAAGGTCTGCGTTTGGCCGCGTTGTTCTGCGAGTGTTTTTCGCAGTGGTGCGTTACGGCGGCCGGGCCGTGCCGGGCGAGGCCCTACAAGGCTCTGGGTCGCCGTGTCCGCCGTGTCCGCTGGGCGCCGGACCCGCGGAGTCAGTCGCGGACTCGCGGTTACGTGGCGCGCCATGGCGGTCGGGATGCGCCTCGATGCAACCGCAGATGCACCGTGACGTCACGCGATAGCCGCTCGCGAGGCTATCACCGTGGTGTTCCTGCTGCCCAAGCACAGTGGATTTGCCAGCGGTCGAAACTCCAGACGCGTTTTGAGCTCCAGAGTCGCTAAATGGGACTCGAACCGAACGTGTGACCCCACCAATGGACTCCTCGTTCGGAGAGCAATCCATTGGTGGGGTCACACGTCCGTTTCGAGCCAGCGCGGGACCTTCCTACATCGGAGGAATGTATTTTGGTCCCTGGCGCCACGTCGCCGCGTTTTGCCTCGCGGTGGCACTTTCCCGGTGCATTATGCACGCCGTCCTGCACGGCGTCCTGCACGCTGGTCGCCACACTGGCAAGGCATTCATCTTGCAGGGAGGCGTCCGATGTGGGTCGGGTCGCCAGGGCGCGGCGCGGCACGGTGTGACCCCCACACGCTGTGCAAAGCTGCAAAGCTGCACAGCTCGGACGACACGCCGCTAATGATTGTTGCTGTTTGTTGCAGGTGGTGGTGGAGACGTCCTCGTCGGCGCAGGAGTACGGCGACACCGCCGTGGACTCGGGGTCGCCGGTCAACGCGGACCTGCACTTCGACCCCAAGTTCATGCACCTCTACGTGATGACGGAGCGCAAGGTAAGACCCCGCAGGCCCTGCGCACAGTGGGCCGGAAGACCGGTGGAGGCGGACAAAACTCTAGATGCCTTTCGAGATCCAGAGTCGCTATATGGGACTCGAACCGGACGTGTCACCCCACCTCGTTCGGAGAGCAATCCATCGGTGGGGTCACACGTTCGGCTCGAGTCCCATTCAGCGACTCTGGAGCTCAAAACGCGTCTAGAGTTTCGGCCGCCTGCACCGGTCTTCTGGCCCACTGTGCGGCCTGGCCAAGCCAAGCAGCCCGGCGAAACGGGTCACAGCTCCTCAAAGATTCCTCATGAATTTTAACGCTGCATTCCTCCGGAGACTTGGCGCATAGTGTTTGCGAGGGGGGGGGGGTCTGTTTCGGTCGTCTTTTTGTCCACGCTGACCTCACCGGGCAGGCAGACGGTGTGCCGGACGGGCTGCCGGACGGCCGGAGCGGGGCGCCCAGATGGTCCCTGCGTTACGAGGGCCCCGCGTCGCCGTGGCGTCGCCGTGGCGTCGCCGTGGGGAAATCTGGGGCGACAGTGTAGGAGCAGCGGGAAGCGCGCGGAATTAATTTTCGGCCCGCGCGCGCGTTTTGATGTTTTCATGTTTTGGCCGGACTGCGTTCGGCTCGGCGCGGTTTTTCGCCGAACTGTCGTCGGCAGTCGGCTCTCGGTGGCGGTGATGGGACGATACAGCGATCGGGGTGGTGTCAACAGACCGTTAGTTTTGTATTCAATTCTAAATTCATCACTCAAAAATGCAAAAAAGAAAATTATCAAATTTGAAGTTGAAAAAATTTAATGTAAAAATTTGTTACTTCTCAAACAAAAAATTTGAATTTTTTTACAAGAATGTTATTTTGTTTCAATCAAATATCAAAAAAATTGAAGTTTTTTAAAATCTTGTTTTGAAGAAAAGTGATATTTTTCGCTTAATTTTTCACGGAGACAGCCTGACCCTGAGTGACGGTGGCAAACTCGAAACACCCCGTCGATAGAGGCGAGTTATTCCCCGAGTCGGTGCACGCGTCATTGGGGGCACAGTGTAAAATTAATCTCCCTCCAGCCGTGGCGGGGGTGCCTGGCTCGCTATGAAACGTCTGCCGCACAGCTTGTGTTCTAATCTGTGCACGGGCGTAACTTGCGGCGAGCAAGAGAGAGAGAGAAAACACAGAAAGAGGCGAGAAAAGAGAGGAAAAAGAGTGGTGGGCGTGCTTTATGGAGGCATGCAGTTGCAGTGTGGTGGTGGCGGTGCGATAAACATTTCCTCGGTGAGGCCGTCTCTCTCGCACCTTCGCGGGCCGCCCCGTGCGTGCGAGAGAGACGGAGCGGCGGCCCCCCGCGGCCTCGGCGAGCCGAAAGCGGGCTAGGCCGCCATGACGCCCCGTCCGTCGCGGTCCGGCCAATCCTGCCTTCGATCTTCGATCTCGGTTCTTCCGCGGAGACGCGACGTCTCTCTCTGACGCAATGCACAGTGGGCCAGAAGACCGGTGGAGGCGGCGAAAACTCCGGACGCGTTTTGAGCTCCAGAGTCGCTAAGTGGGACTCGAACCGAACGTGTGACCCCACCAATGGATTGCTCTCCGAACGAGGAATCCATTGGTGGGGTCACACGCTCGATTCGAGTCCCATTCAGCGACTCTGGAGCTCAAAACGCGTCTAGAGTTTTGGCCGCCTCCACCGGTCTTCTGGCCCACTTGTGCAATGTGGTCGCGGACAGAAAAATCGCGCCAAATGTGGTCACGTATTCAACGGAATCGACTCGTGCTATTTCCCCCTGCTCGTCCAGCTGAGCTGCTGTCCTCGGCACTCAACGCTCAGGACGTTTTCACAGTGGAGGAACTAATTTGTCTCCGATATCCCCACATAATCCCTCGGAAACGCGTCGCCGCGACAATCATTTCCCTCTCCGCCGCTTTTTTGGGGGATGAGGCTGAGAGGATGGAGCGGGTCGGTAGCAGCTGCGTCGCTCTGTCTCTCTCGCACCCGCGCGGCCCCTGCGGCCCACCCTGCAAGTGCGAGCGAGACGGAGCGACCGGGATCCAATCTCTTATTTCACAAAGATGCTCTCGCTTTATTTTTCCTTTTCTCGCGCCCCGCCGCGCCCTTCGCAAAGCAGCCAGCAATGGCTGACGGTTATGGCGACGTACGAGCGCGCGTCGCGGGTTCAAACCTCCCCCGCGCCATGTTTTTATTTTCAGGGTCTTGTTGTTGCCCTAGCCCCCTTCTCGCGACCTACTTTGTCCGTGCACCTGGGCCCGCGTTTCCCGACCGGTCACCCTCCCAAGTACCGATTGCAGCCGCGGCTGCTTAACTTCGGTCAGCGGAAGGAAACCAGCGTGCCCGCGTGGACCCTGTATGGCCGTTGTTCGCTGCACTGTAATTTCCCCCGTCGGCACCCGACTCCGAAAGACGTTCCCGTCGCTCTGTCTCTCTCGCACCTGCACGGGACGCCCCGTGAGTGCGACAGAGACAGAGCCAGGAAAACGACTCTCGCAAGCAGTGTGCTGGAACAGCGCGAACAGTGCGCTGCTGGGAGTAGTCCCGGACGTGTCCCGGGTTCGATTCCCGCTCCCGGCTGCGCGCTTTTTTCCTTTCCCACCGCGACATGTGCTTACCGGCGGCTTTTACACGTCGTTACGTCGTGGGAGTGGGAAGGGAGGAGGCTGCGGAGGCTGTCCCCGCCGGGCCGCGCGGGTGCGAGAGAGACAGAGCGACGAGCCGGGCCGACAAAGGCGCGGCGGTTCGAACGCGGCAACGCGGTTGTGTATCGGCCATTGTGTTCGCTCCACTTCCGTACACTGTACCCGCTGCGTCGCTCTGTCTCTCTCGCACTCGCGGGGCGCCCCGTGGCGGTGCGAGAGAGACAGAGACAGAGCCGCCCGCGGCGCGACCCCGCCTGACCCGGCGCTGTTGGCGCCGCTGCCTCCACGGCGCGGCGGGCGGCCGGAGCACGCGAAGACCCGCCCCGCCGAGCCCCGCCGAGCTCGCGATTTAATGAGCCTCCTTTTAATCGTAATCAATTTTGCAGGTGTCCAAGGTGAAGGTGCAGGACTGCGGGCAGTACAAGACGTGCGGCGACTGCCTCGGGGCCAGGGACCCGTACTGCGGCTGGTGCTCGCTGGAGAACAAGTAAGTCGACTGCCAGACACAGTTATTTTTTGCCACTTTGAGGCGTCACTTTTGCCATCACTTTCTACAATCCCAACTTGATGACATTTTCATCTTTATACAAGTGACCTAGAGCAAAATTTTCACAGTGGAACAGGTTTTAAAAAAATTGGCGATTGAAATTACTGCATCCTGCTGTGGTATCCCGCCCGCCGCGGTTTCCATAAACTGTTCCACTTTTCTCGGATATTTTCCGCTGTTTTCATTGTGTTTTTTTTTTTTCGTTTCTCATTCTCGTGACCACTGTCCAGTTTATCTGGGTCGTGTAACTCACCCGCCGTGCTTACGTTGTGTAACGCATTAGATAAATATATTTTTTGGAGTTTTTTTCTGTGGGGGGGGAGGGGATTGGGCCGCGGCAGCCATCGTCCCCCCCCCCCCCACCACCACCACCACCACCACGACCGCCACACCAGGATTCGCACGCAGGACCTGGTGATTAGTGAAGGGAGTTAGGACCCCATTGGGAGCCATCGCCCGGTTCTGTCCATCAGATCAGCTATTCTACCCCCCCTCCCTCTCTCTCTTTCCCCTTTTACACCCCCTTCCCGTCAGGGTGCCTCTCTTCCCCCCCCCCCCTTTTTCCCCGATCGCCCGGCCCGTCAGGGGATCTCGCTGCCCGTCAGGATTTGCCAGATTCTGTCGGAGTTGTCATGCCGACCGCGTCACCTTGAGGACCTTGGAGGACCTTTCAGGGCGTCTCAGGCAGGACCTTTGCGGGCCCTTGGCGCCTTTGGCCCTTTCACGGTGTGGCAGCTCGGGAACGAAATGGCACCGCCACCGCGGATTAGGGCTGCCCCTGCCGCCCCGTGGATTTCACGAATTTTCTCATATTTAAAAAAAATAAAAATGGTTGCGATTTTAGGCTATCTGCGTTGCTGCGTGCCTGCCTGACGGGTTCTCCTCGTTGACGTGTCCTTTTTTTCGTGCGTTTTCGCTCCCCCCCTGTCGGAGGCCGAGGCCGCAGACGGACGCGTCTGACCGCGGCCCTCTCTGATTGGTCGCCGCCTGAGTGACAGTGCCACGCCATTGGTCGGGCCAACCCCCAAGGGCACGTCCATCGAAAACGCCCCGACTGACCTGTACAAATTGGAAATTGCTATCCGGAAAAGAAAGTCTTTTCTTTGGGGGTCAGTTTATGTACTCTTTCTCTCTCTCTCTTTTTTTTTTTTTTTTTTTTTTTTTTTTTGAGGGGCCCGAGGCTGGGCTGTGATTGACAAGGCCTGGAGTGGACCATGTGCTGCCCGGGCCGATTGGGAGACGGAGGGGGAAATCCTTGGAAAATCCGGCAGGAAGACGAGAGAGAGGGAGAGCGGGAAAAAATCTTTTCCGCGGGGAAGGACCGTCCGGGGTTCGTCTCGCCGCGTCTCGCTATCGGGGCCGCTTCCGGTGCGGCCGGAAACCGGAAGCGGACTGCCAGCTCGGTCTGCGCGGCCTCATATCGCGAGGGTTGCGGCCAGCTTAGAGGCGCCTCAGCCTGATCCGTGGCCCCACAGTGGGCCAGAAGACCGGTGGAGGCGGCCGAAATCCCGGACGCGGTTTGAGCTCCAGAGTCGCTAAATGGAGCTCGAACCGAACGTGTGACCCCACCAATGGATTGCTCTCCGAACGAGGAATCCATTGGTGGGGTCACACGGTCGGGTCGAGCCCTGTTTAGCGACTCTGGAGCTCAAAACGCGTCTGGAGTTTCGGCCGCCGGACCACTGCACCGCACGTCCACGCTGCATTAGCCCTCCATGAGCCGCCAGGTCCACGACGTCGACGGCGTCCTCGACTCCCAAGTCGCGGCCAAGCCGAAGCGTGCCGTTGGTTTATGCACGGCATGCATCATGCAGCCCTGTCGACTGCGGTCACTTGTCTCCGAGACGAGCCGAGCGAGCCGAGCCCGGCCGGGGCGGCGCAGGTGGCGGCGCTGGCCGAGCCGAGCCGGGCAGCCATTAGAGGGCCTCCAGGTGGACGTCACTCCAGCCCAGCCCTGTGGTCCGGGCACTTAGATCGGACTCTGTCTCTCTCGCGCCCACACGAGTGCGAGCGAGACGGAGAGACGGTCGAACGAAACGCAAGCGCGGCCGCGAGCAGCGAAGAGAACGCTGACGAGATAAACTCGTTATTAATTTGACTCGAATAATGAAAAGGGCGAAAACAGCGAAATAACAATCGGTGCGTCCCTGACCCACATTCATTCCACGAGCCTCCTTCGTCGGCCGGGGGGATTTTGCCGCCACAGCGGAACGGGGGGGGGGGGGGGGGGGCAAGGCACCCTTCCGCCGCGGACTTAACTTAGTTGCTGACAAAACGGGGGTACAGGCGGAGGTTAAAGACTTCGAGGGGCGCGAGGAGCCAAAGTGTTGCCTCAGCACCGACCCTCGCTAGCTCCGCGGAGCTTGAGGGGGGGGGCCACACCCCGTCTCGCGTTCTCCAAGAGCACACACACAGACACCCATTCGCCGGCGTCCCCACCACACCCCTGTCCACTAAATCCTGCTTCCACCCGAAAAAGGAGTGGCTCGGGTATATGGCCCTCGGGGACGCGTGGCCCCCCCCCCCCTCCCTCCTCTTTTCGCCCCCTCTTTTCGCAAAAGGGGGGTGTGTGTCCGCGAAAGGGGGAGGGGTGTCGCATCCGAGGCAATTAGGCAGGCCTCTTCAGTGACGTCTGCCTGAATCTCGGCCGCGAGGACCCTCCTTTGCCACTGTGTGTGCGGCTTATGGCTGGGGGGGGGGGTAGGAATTGTTGGATTTCGGACAGAGAGACTCTAGTGCTCGAGGCACTCTTTCTTTCTCTCTCTCTCTCTTTCCCTCCCTCTCTCGCATAAACTCCTCCGCCGGCAGTAACGCTGGATAAAGAGCAGCAGCGCTTTCCCGCTTTCCAGGTGCCGTGCGACGCCGCGGAGTGTCACGCATTGCTTCCCTGCCGACTGACTCCGCTCTGTGCTGTCGTCGCTCTGTCTCTCTCTCGCACTCACGGGCCGCCCTGCTGAGGTGCGAGAGAGAGAGAGATGAAACGCTTTCCGGAATCAGTCTGCTGCTCCCCTATTTATGGCGCTCCGAGTCAGCCCGGAGTATAGGCAAGCACACACTATAGGCGTCCGTATGCGTTTTCACCCCCACCCCCTCCCCCTCGTGGGACTCTCTTTCGGGATCTGCGTCGAGCAGAGAGAGAGAGAGAGAGAGAGAGAGACGGGGCGGGAATTTCACGGTAGACCGTCTTCTATATATCACGAGCCCCGGCGCCTCGCGCCCCGCAGCCCATCATCCCGACATGACGGCGCGACTTTCCAGAAAAATAACTCCCCAAAATACAGTGCCATTCCGAGGCGCGGGCGCAACGCGGCGCGGCGCGGCGCCAGGTGGGTCCCGGGTTCGAATCCCACCGGCCGTCTCGCCGCCTCGCCCTTTCCCCTCCAATTTGTCCTCCCCGAGGACGACGCCGTGTTTGTTCCTCCACCACACCGTCTGTCTCTCTCGCACCCGAACGGAGCGCCCCGTGAGTGCGAGGGAGACAGAGAGCCCTGCTGTCAAAGGGCCAGTCCAACAGCAGCAGTGCTACCACTTAGGCCGGCAAAAATCCCGCGGTAGTGTCGTCAGGGTTGCCAACCTTCGCCCAGTACCTGGGCAGTATCCATGCCTGGCTAAGATCAGTTGTGGTCTAGCCTTTCAAGTCAAGTCAAGTCAAGTCTCGGGAAGTTGCCCAACGGGCAGGCTGAGGTTGGCAACCCTCTCGACACTGGCAACCACGGAACGCAGCCTGCCTCTGCTCGTCACGTGGTTTATAAAAGCGCCCTTATCTCGCGCGCCGTTCGTCAAATTGCCTTTTTTGTCGCCGCTCTGCAACTTTTCAGGGCGCGGGATCGCAGATTTATCGGGTCATCAGTTGTAATTTACGTCCGCTCCGTCTCTCTCGCTCCCGTCGGACCGGTGGACCCTCTCCGCGCGTGGGAGAGAGAGAGAGGGAGACAGAGAGAGAGAGAGAGAGAGAGAGAGAGAGAGAGAGAGAGAGAGAGAGGGTGGTTTTCGACGAACGCGTTCGGAGCGTCTTTGTCCGTCTCTGTCGCACCCGCGGGTCTCTCCGTCGGGGTGCGAGAGGGACAGGCGCTTCAATATTTAAGGTGTAGCGGCGGTGTCTCGTAAAACACAAGGGTGAGCGGCGGGGACCGTCCGTAACGGAGGCAACCCGTCATTTCAAAACTCAATTTCCGATTTTAGTCGTCCGGTTTTCGTTTTTTTTTTTTTTCCGACTGCCGCTTTTCCCGCCCCACACGCAGCAGTACGATCGGTATTGCTTTCTCTCTCGCACGCGCGCGGCGTGCCGCAGCCCGTGGGGGTGCGAGAGAGACGGAGGGAGAGAGAGGCGGGGAGTGGTCACGTGCCGAGGCAATCCCCGTGTCGCTGTGTTTCCCAGTGTAGGGGCGGTGGCCAGGGCGACCGAATCTCTCATTGCAGTCCGTCTTCCCTGTAGTCATTTAGCGAGGGCGGTTCGGACGGAGGGTCGGCGTCGGCGCGGCCCGCCCCGCCCCGCCCCGCGCCCTTTGTTTTGACGCTTGATTGAATAGCGAGTGTTCGAGACAGACTGAAGCACGGCCCGCTAAGTGGGCGGGGCGGGGCGCGCGAGCCGCCGCCGCCGCCGTGCCGTGGGCCGTTTGCGAACTTGCAGAGTTGTCGTCGGCCTCCTCATTGTTTATATCCGCCGCCACCGTCTTTCCCCGCCCGTCGTTTGCCGAGCAACCCCCGCGGGGGCCCACCCCGCCCCACCCCGCCAACGCGACAGGGACGCATGCCTTGGAGTCGGCGTCGTACAGATGTGGCGTGCTGGATATGGGGACTTTGGCACTCCCCGCGTCTGGCGCGCGAGAGGGCTGTTACCCCCACTGGCAAACTGAAAAAAAACAACAACAATATGGGGCTGGTGGGGCCTAATCCCGGCACGGTGGTCACCCGGGCCTCCGCCACGCCACGCCCCGCCA